GTCACAGTGTGACAAGGACAAGAAGTTCTAAACAGACTCAGATACATAGAGTCCTAATACTCTCCCTCAAGCACAGTGTATACAAGTAACCTGTAGCTTGTCCCTTAGGGAATAAAATCTAGGTCCAGACAGAGCTTTGGTGAAGATATTAGCAAGTTGATCCTTTGTGGAAATGAAGTTGACTTGGATATCGCCCGAAGCTACTCGATCACGAACAAAATGATAATCAATCTCCACATGCTTGATGCGCGCATGAAAGATTGGGTTGACACTCATATATGTAGCTCCTAGATTATCACACCATAATTTTGGAATGGAAATACCAAGAATCTGTATCTCACGCAGTAATGACATAATCCATAGAACTTCAGCAAAAACATCTGCAAGAGCTTCGTATTCAGCCTCAGTGGATGACCTGACAACAGTTCTCTGTTTCTTGCAAACCCAGGATATAAGATTACTCCCCAAGAAAACAGCAAAACCACTCGTGGATTTTCGATCCTCAGAACAACCAGCCTAATCAGAATCAGAGAAGGCATGAATGTCTCTAGATGAGCACCGTCGTATGCGTAAACCACGATCAACTGTTCCCTTAACATACTTGAGTACCCGTTTGAGTTGCTCCCAGTGTGACATGGTGGGAGCATGCATATGTTGGCATAACTGATTAACTGCAAAGGATAGGTCAGGTCGTGTGACAGTGAGATATTGCAGTGCTCCAGCTAGACTCCTGTACTGTGTGGGATCATCATATAGATCTGAATTGAATGGGACAGTTTTCGAGACAGAGATAGGTGTAGAAAGGGGTTTGCATTCAGACATTCCAGCCCGTTTTAAAATATCATTCATATACCGTTGTTGAGATAAAATAATCTCATTGTCACTCTTAACTATTTCAATACCTAGAAAGAAATTTGGTTCACCAAGATCTCTGATTTTGAATGTAGCAGACAGTTTGGACAAGAGCTGAGATATAATACCCTGATCACTTCCCATTACAAGAATGTCATCCACGTACACCAATAGATAAACCAAAGCAGAGTCTTTAGAGTAATAGAACAGAGAGACATCTGTCTTGGATGCTTGAAAGCCAACTGATAGTAAGAACGTATGCAGTCGATTAAACCAGGCCCTGGGAGCTTGTTTTAACCCATACAGAGATCTTTTTAACAAACAAACATGATTCGGGAAGTTAGCATCAATATAACCAGGGGGTTGCTTCATATAAACTGTTTCAGCCAGATTACCATTCAGAAAAGCATTATGAACATCTAGCTGTTTGATAGACCACCCAGATGATAAAGCAAGAGATAGAAGGAGTCTTACAGTTGTAGGCTTTACCACTAGACTAAATGTGTCGAAGAAGTCCTGGCCTGGAACCTGATTAAAACCTTTTGCAACCAGCCTGGCTTTATGCCTTTCAATAGCACCATCAGCCTTTCTCTTCGTACGAAACACCCATTTACAGCCAATAATATTCATACCTGCAGTGGGTGGAACTAGAGACCATGTGTGGTTATGCAGGAGAGCATTGAATTCTTGGTCCATGGCTTCACGCCACTCAGGATATTTGACAACTTGAGAGTGACATGTGGGTTCCGTGGGATACACCTGAGCTGCTAGAGCAAAAAGAGGAGCATCTGCGTTGCTCCGAGTGGCCATAGAATGAGTACGGACATTGGGCCTGGTGGACCGCCCACGTGGACGGCCTTGCTGGCGAGCAACGGGCTCCACCGGATCACCGGACGATGCAGCATCTCCGGGATCCACAGCTGGTTCGAATGAAGCTGGTAGCGGCGGTTCTGGCGGCTCATCATTGGACATGGCAGGAATAGGTGTGTTGTGACTGAGAACAGATTCCGCTCAAGGTCCAGAAAAAGGAGTAGATAGATCCTGCAAAGAAGTTTTAGTAGCAAAGGGGAAAACTTCTTCATCAAATCTGACATGCCCGCATGTGTAAATCTTATTAGTATGTAAGTCCATGCATCTGTACCCCCTAAAGGACTCAGGATAACCTAGGAAGACACATGGAGAAGATCTGTATGACATCTTATGACGATTATATGGTCGAAGATGAGGGTAGCATAAACACCCAAAGACACGAAGAAAAAGATAGGAAGGAGGGAATTTATGTAACAGGAGATGAGGACTGGAGTTATTTAATACAGAAGATGGCATTCTGTTAATTAAATAGATAGCAGTCTCAAAGGCAAAAATCCCAAAATTTCAAAGGAACAGAGGCATGAGCAAGAAGAGCCAGACCAGTTTCAACAATGTGATGATGTTTTCGTTCAACACGACCATTCTGTTCATGCGTATAGGCACATGATTTTCTATGTCGAATTCCTAATTGAACAAACGAAGAATGCAACTTTTTGTACTTAGCACCTAAATCAGACTGAATGGCCTTTATTTTGCAATTAAAGGACCGTTCAACAAGAGTACGAAATTTATCAAAGATGACATAAAGATCAGACTTTAATTTCATAGGGAAGAACCATGTATAACGGGAATAGTCATCCACAAAGATCACAAAGTAACGGAAGCTAGAAGTAGATAAAGTGGGCGCAGGACCCCAAATGTCTGTGTAAATAAGATCTAGTACTTGAAAACTAGAGGAAGCAACACGAGGGAGGGGAAAACGGGCAGATTTGCCTAATTGACACGCATTGCATAAAGAATTATGACCACGAATATTATCACGAGACCCACCAACTAAGCAAGATCGAAGTATATGGCTAAGAACACGGTTATGAGGATGACCCAGACGATTGTGCCAAGTGGAAGCCGAGGCACGAGCGGAAAGAAACGCTGACGGAGACGAACTAGGTAATGAAAGTGTGTATAGTCCCCCCGAACTATTGCCCCGAAGAAGTATTTCATTGGTATTGATATCCTTTACAACAAAAAAGGAGGGGTGAAACTCAAAAAAGACTTTATTATTGGATGCAAACTTCTGAACAGATAATAAAGAATTAGACAAACGTGGAACGTGAAGTATATCAGACAATGTAAATGATCTAGAAGGGGTATTAAAAGAGGCATGACCAACATGACTAATAGATAAACCCATACCGTCACCGACACGTAAAGTGTCATTACCAGTGTACTTCTCCAATGTAGAAAGGGAAGCGATGTTTGGAGTTGCATGATTTGTGGCTCCAGTATCCGGAACCCAAGTATGAGAATTTGACGAGGTTTTGGCGCCTAAACCATTCTGAAACACCAAATTAGCCTGAGAACCCGGAGCCCCTGAATAACGCCGAAAACAGTTGACTCCCGTGTGACCGAAACTTTTACAAATTTGACACGGATCATTATAGCGCAAAAAACAATTGACTCCCGTGTGACCAAAATGTTTACAAATTTGACACGGATCATCATAGCGCCAAAAACAATTGACTCCTGTGTAGCCGAAACCTTTACAAATTTGACATGGATCATCAAAACCACGTTGCTGACCTCCACGGTAATTAAGGTTGCCACCGCAGCGCTGCATCTTCTTCTCTTTTTTTTTTTTTTTTTTTTTTTTTTTTTTTAACGTGACACTCGCCGGATCTTGATCTTGATTTTATGAATCACAAAACCCTAGCTAACTGATACCAGATGAGAACTGATTGTATTGTATTTACTGAACTTGATTACAATGAGATCAGATGATGTGAATATATACAATAGAGAGTCACAATGTGATAAGGATAAGAAGTAGAGAGTCATAGTGTGACAAGGACAAGAAGTTCTAAACAGACTCAGATACATAGAGTCCTAATAAGCAGGTCATTTACCTGTATTTGGGCTTCATTGCATCAAAATGCATTGTTTATGGATGTAATTGCACCTTTAAAAAGTTGGAGGGACTAATTGACTCTTTAGCAAATGTTTGAGGGCTTATTTGATCATTTTCCCGATTCCCAATGATTATATAAACTTAGTATGCCTAATAAGATTGGGGCTCTCATTTCTTCCCTATCTCTTGTCAATTGTTCTAGATTACTTTATCAATATATTGTTGATCCAATCCTAGAACACACTAGTAAGGAGCTAACAGGCCAACGAGCATCAAACTGGAGCGTTATGCAGTGTGCATGGTGCACACAGTTGCAAAAACGACGTCGTTTTGACTTCCGACTTAAAAAAAAAAAATCAGTTTCGATTGCCGTTAACGGTATTATGTTGTGCATAATTTGAACTATACATCCATAATTTCATAACTATACATTCAGAATTGCATAACTATACATCCATAATTTCATAACTATACATTCAGAATTGCATAACTATACATCCATAACTTTATAACTATACATTCAGAATTGCATAACTACACATCCATAACTTCATAACTATACATTCAAAATTGCATAACTACACATCCATAACTTCATAATTATACATTCAGAATGTGAAATTATAAAATTATGAACATATGTTTACGTAACTAACGGCAATCGAAAATAATTTTTTTTTAAAAGTAAAACGACGCCGTTTTTGTAACCGTGTACACCATGCATGGTGCACACGGTTGCACAACATAATTTGCCCATCAAACTATACAACATTAAATTTTTTTCACATAGTTACTAACATGGGCGGATCCAAAAATTTTCTTTAGTGGGGACTAAAAATAAAAATATGAAATAGTTGAAATAAATTTTATATATCATTTTTATTAATATGACTAGTATGTTCTATTCGCGATGCATAAAAATAGATGCCCAATATTAATAATCTATATTAAAATCTTAGATTTATTTAGATTTTAGAAATTTATACTATATAATAATAATAATAATAATAATAATAATAATAATAATAATAATAATAATAATAATAATAATAATAATAATAATAAATGTATAAAATAAAATAAAAGAAAAGAGAAATGGATAAACTGATTTTTATTTATTTACCAAAACAGCCTCGGCTGGCTGCAATGAGCTGAGTGGGCGGATAAGTGGCTCCGTATCTGAATATCTCTTCAGTGTGGCTGTGGGAAGAACAAGTCGACAAGCCAACGCGCAATAGTGAGTATGTGAAACCAAGCCAACGCGCGAGCCGCGAGCAAACTAAGAATGAGATGATGGCAGGATAAGGATTTGAAGCCCCACCTCTCGTTTCCCTCTTACTTCTTTACCCATACCAACCAATACTCAAATTTGCTAGAACAAACATAGACCTCTGCTAAGCGGTGACACAAACACATAAGCCTGGGTTTTCCTCGGAACCCCACAATTTTCTTCAATTGCATAGTTTCTGGTACTATACTAATGTAAAGCTATGATTTTTATTGATTTTTTGGTGTTGTGCATTGGTTCCTTGACGATGGATGAGTCTTGGTTTCTGCTAAACTTCATTCTTTTCCTCTCTTTCTTTGAGTTTTTGCTGATTGAAGTTCATTGTTAATGTTTTTTTGGTAATTCTTGGGCACTGAATGCTGTGGTTGGTCTGCATAGTTTGAGAATTTGGAATAACTAAGGATTTTGGATTTGGGTTAGGAGGCTTATTTAGTTGGATGAATTTAAAATGCTGGAATGTGTGGAATGAATTTGGTTAAGTGTTTAGCTTTTTCTAGATTTTTTTTATTGGTGCATAGAGGAAACTGGAAAGTTGCTTCCTAGGAATTAATTTTGACCCCAATTTCCAGTATCATGAACTTTAGCAACTTAAAGACAGTGCCTAATTTGATATAGTGATATGGAGTGAAGAAGTTGGTTTATGAAGTTTATATGGAATTGAAATATCACGTTAGCTAGGTATGTAGGATTTGCGTGGAAGCCTCTATGACTGTAAAGGAATAGTTTAATGGCATCTAAATTCTAAGTGTGATTTCTCAATTACCGTAGTCAAATTGTACTTTGGTTGATAGAAGTTCTAAGATAAATTTATGTATGTATGTATTTATGAATTTCATTAAGTAATTGGTTTCTTTAGGTGTTAGTTAAGCTGATGATTACCAGTTCTCCGAATGCTTATAATGTGTGACTTTACGGTTAGCAAAATAAGCTAAATGTTGATAGGATGTGATATAGGTTACATATATTGATTGATAAGGTTATATCACTCGCTGTCTTGTTTTACTGACTTTTTCTATGCATTTCATAAAAGGAAACTGGAAAAAGAACACGCGAATTGCATATTTCTTTCTAATGCCACATTCGAGTTGCTGGATTTAATTTGTCTCTTCCGTTGATTTACAGGTGAGGGAATAATGCAAAAACTCGTATAGCTCGTGCTTGGTACCCTATTTCACATATTCATTCGGCATGGCTCCTGTGATTCCCACTACGGTTAACAGTATTTCACTAACTCCGTGCAATATCCTCATTAGCAGAAAGAACAATCTTTTAACAAGGTGCAGCGTTTTTCAGAAACCTGGCAGACAAACATTATCTGCCCAAAGATATGCCATACCATTTTCGACACCCGTTAGATTGTTTCCCCACTTGAGAGTTGGCTTTGATATACAGCCTAAATTAAGAACCCCCATAGTGTCGTCAGCTGAGACTGATGTAGCAGTAGAAGAGGCAGACTCGGCCACTGTAGATAAGAGTCCTTCGGGGGCACCAGAAAATTCACCTGTCGAGTCAGATGCCAGTCCTACCCCTGCTCCATCGAGACGTTCAAGGCCTGCTAGGAAGAGTGAGATGCCTCCTATAAAGAATGAAGATCTGATTCCCGGTGCAAGTTTCACGGGAAAGGTCAAATCAATCCAGCCATTTGGAGCTTTTGTTGATTTCGGGGCTTTCACAGATGGGCTTGTTCATGTTTCTAATTTGAGTAACAGTTTTGTGAAGGATGTTACTAGCGTTGTTTCTGTTGGACAAGAGGTAACGGTGAGGTTACTTGAAGCGAATATGGAGACAGGACGGATATCACTGACTATGCGTGAAAGTGATGAAACGAGTAGGGAAAAGCAGCCAAAAGATTCTCCTGGCAGCAGTGATAAATCTAGAGCACCAAAGAGAACCCCTCAAAGGAACAACCAAAGAAGAGAGTCGAAGTTTGTGAAGGGGCAGGATCTTGAAGGAACAGTAAAGAATTTAACCAGGTCTGGTGCTTTCATATCACTTCCTGAAGGGGAAGAGGGGTTCCTGCCAACATCGGAGATGGCTGATGAAGGGCTTGGGGAGATCATGGGGGGCTCTTCACTGCAAGTAGGTCAGGAAGTTAGTGTCCGTGTTTTGCGAATTTCTAGAGGACAGGCAACTTTGACCATGAAGAAAGAAGAAGCAACCGAAGAGGTGAACTCAGTGCTCAGCCAAGGTGTTATCCACAAAGCAACTAATCCCTTTGCATTAGCCTTTCGCAAAAATAAAGAAATTTCTGCGTTTTTAGATCAGAGGGAGGAGGAAGTGCTGGCTGAAAAGTCAGAAAAAGATAACAATGAAGCAGGTGTGGACATTAGTACGGTAGATGATACACTGTCTGAAACCGCGGAGAAAGATGGGGAAGTTATGGAAACGATAAACGAGGACACAACCACCACAGATCAGCTAAGTGAAGAGCCTTCTGCAACTGAGGATGATTCATTGCCTATAACTGAAGACCAGCTTGCAGAGCCCGAAGTGAGCACAACTACAACAGATCAACTAAGTGAAGAGCCATCTGCCATTAATGCTGCAGAAACCAATGCTCAAGATGAAACTGCAGCTCAGCTTGCAGAACCTGAAGTGAGCACAACTACAATCGATCAACCAAGTGAAGAGCCATCTGCAATTAATGCTGCAGAAACCGATGCTCAAGATGAAACTGCAGCTCAGCTTGCAGAACCTGAAGTGATCACAACTACAATCGATCAACAAAGTGAAGAGCCATCTGCAGTTAATGCTGCAGAAACCGATGCTCAAGGTGAAGAGGAACCAAGTGGAACTGATTTGCTGGAAAATGGCAGTACTTCAAGCTTAAGTGAACAGAATGCTGTTTCTCAAGACAATGAAAACTTGACTGAAGGTTTGTCGCCACTTCTTTTTACTTTTTCCTTTTACAAAAGTTGTTATCTCAGTTACCTGTTGTAATTTGTGATGTATTAGTGACATGATTTTCTCAAAGTGGGTCTTATAGAGTCTGGACAGGTACTACTGTAAACTCCTAAATATACCAAAAAGATATTGCTAACTTATCACACTTGGTTTGGCATCTGATATTGTTGTGTGAATAATAATAAACTGAAACTGAAGTTTGTCCAAACAGTCACATGAATTCCTTGTGCTGACGACCCCTTCTTCTTATATAGAAAATCAGATTAGTGGAGAAGTTGTGGCTGGAAATTCGGTTGTAGAGGATGATGTGCAGAAAGAAACTAAAGGTTTGCATCTTTTCCTTCTCAGTTGTTCTTTCACGTTGAAAGGTGTTGAGAAACTCCTAATAGTTTTCTGCAATTATTTGTTTTCTATGATTTCTATGCCTAGTTCAATATACTGATGAATGACAATTTTCCATGGAGTGTAGCCGCTATTTCTCCAGCCCTTGTGAAGCAGTTGCGTGAAGAAACGGGAGCTGGAATGATGGACTGCAAGAAGGCTCTTTCTGAAACTGGCGGGGACATTGCTAAAGCTCTGGAGTATCTTAGAAAGAAGGGGTTGGCAACTGCAGATAAAAAAGCGAGTAGAGCCACAGCTGAAGGAAGAATTGGTTCTTACATTCATGATAGTAGGATAGGCGTCCTGATAGAGGTGAATTGCGAGACAGATTTTGTATCTAGAGGTGACATTTTTAGAGAATTGGTCGATGACTTAGCCATGCAAGTTGCTGCATGCCCTCAAGTACAGTATCTTGCCACGGAAGATGTTCCAGAAGAGATTGTCAACAAGGAAAGAAAAATCGAGATGCAGAAGGAAGACCTAATGTCAAAACCGGAGCAGATTAGATCCAAGATTGTTGATGGGAGGATAAGGAAGAGGCTCGAGCAATTTGCTCTACTGGAGCAGCCATATATTAAGGATGATAAAGTAGTGGTCAAGGATTGGGTCAAGCAGACCATTGCAACAATTGGAGAGAACATAAAAGTCAAGAGATTTGTGAGATACAACCTCGGGGAAGGTTTAGAGAAAAAAAGCCAAGATTTTGCCGCAGAGGTGGCTGCCCAGACTGCCGCTAAAAGTGTGCCACCACCAGCTAACGAGCAGCCTGCTGCTCCTGAAGCCACGGAAACTGTTGAGTAAGTTTCTACCTTATTCTGAAAGAGCAAATACCAATTTTAGTCCCACGAGTATTAGCAAAATGACGGTTTTGGTCCACATGTTTAATTCCTACCAATTTTCATTCACGACTATTGTTTTTGTACCAATTTTAATCCACGACAATTATTTTAGTACCAAAATTCATCACGTCGGTCACCCATTTATTTAAAACATTCCGAAATCTAAAAATTTTAAGGGCATTTTCGTCCTTTTCAACTTAATGTTCCAATTTGAGCATAAATAAATGAATTTAAGCCCAAAGATTGATCCCAATTCGCAGTTCTCCTCCTCATCCTACATTAATTTGAGGAGGAAAACTGCAAATTGGGATAGATCTTAGGGCTTAAATCCCTTTATTCATGCTCAAATATGAATCCTAATTTGAAAAGCACGAAACTACCCTTAATAATTTCATATTCCGGCATGTCTTAAACGAAGGGATGACCGGCGTGATAAATTTTGGCACTAAAACAATAGTTGTGGATGAAAATTGGTACTAAAACAATAGTCGTGGATAAAAATTGGTAAGAATTAAACATGTGAACCAAAATTGTCATTTTGCTAATACTCGTGGGATCAAAATTGGTATTTGCTCTATTCTGAAATGTGCGTATTATTGAGCAAATACCAATTTTGGTCCCACGAGTATTATCAAAATGACAGTTTTAGTCCACATGTTTAATTCCTACCAATTTTCATCCACGACTATTGTTTTATTACCAATTTTCATCCACGATTATTATTTTAGTGCCAAAATTCATCATGACGGTCACCCCTCCGCTTAAACCATGCCGAATGATATTTTGGAGTTTGTTTCCTTTCACACCTTTACGCTTCCTTTCTGTTTAATTACTTTGATGGACCGGATTACGTGTGCTTCCATGAACTGAAACATTCAATGCTTCAACTCAGAGCTCCGAAGACTGCTATTTCAGCTGCATTGGTTAAACAATTGCGTGAAGAAACGGGAGCTGGCATGATGGACTGCAAGAAAGCTCTGTCTGAAACCGGAGGAGACCTAGAAAAGGCACAGGAGTATCTCAGGAAGAAAGGCCTCTCCACTGCTGACAAAAAATCTAGCCGTCTTGCAGCTGAAGGGAGGATAGGGTCATACATCCATGACGCCCGAATAGGGGTTCTGATTGAAGTCAACTGTGAAACTGACTTTGTGGGGAGAAGCGAGAAATTTAAGGAACTTGTCGATGATCTAGCAATGCAAGTTGTGGCGTGCCCACAGGTACAGTATGTGAACACTGAAGATATTCCCGAGAGCAGTGTGAGCAAGGAGAAAGAATTGGAAATGCAGAGAGAAGACCTGCAGAAAAAACCCGAGAACATAAGGGAGAAGATCGTGGAGGGCAGGGTTTCGAAAAGGCTTGGGGAGCTTACTCTTCTGGAGCAGCCCTTCATTAAGGACGACAGCGTTTTGGTGAAGGATTTGGTGAAGCAAACTGTTGCGACTCTCGGGGAGAACGTAAAGGTCAGGAGGTTCATTAGGTTTACACTTGGCGAATGATGAGACGAGAGAAAAGGTAACTGATCCAAACTATTTTTGTTGCTGAGTATACTCGAGATTCATTTTTGTTGTAGTGCAAAGTTGTTAGCTTTCTTATATCAGACTCTTCTTCTTCCACATCTCTGATTTTGCACCAGTTTGTATTGTTATTGTCACTACTTTTTGAGGCTTTGAGCCCATCCTTTTGAAAGTTGAACTAGTTGGAAGAGAAGCAACTGAGGTGTAAGCAGATTTCTGCCATGGAGATCTTTCCTGGCTTCCAAGTCAAATTATTCGAGTTCGATTTGATGAATGTTTAAATTCGATTTGGTTACTGATGAACCGAGCTTAACTAGAGTAGTTTGAGTAATGAATCTACCCGAATTCAAGCATTTTAATATTTGACACAAATTGTTCTTGAGCCTAATCAAACTGTTTTATTTATTTTTAGAAGAAAAAAAACTGAACTTTATACGAAAAGTCCATTAGATGTTTGAATTCTTAAAAGTAGCAATGCGATTTTTGTGCATTTGAGCCTAATAGCGAACTATTCATATGTAATAGCTGATCATTAGGGATCTGTTTGCCGGTCGATAGTTTTGCACTTTTGCGCGCCAAAACCTTAATAATCGACTATTAAGTGAATAGTCGACTATTGGGTGTAGATGCACAAAAATCACATGTTAATGTGTTTAATTGTTACTTTTAAAAGTTCAGAGGTCTAATGAACTTTCGTTTTTGACCATTTACCTTTTATTTTTTATATATTACATATATAATTGAAATCTAATACTACAAATTTAGCTAATATATTATAACATATATGAACTGCAGAACTAATATAACATTGTGCCTTTTTGTGGCAGAACAACAAGGAGAGTTACAGAAGTAAGGCATAATATCACTGATTTACAATGTATAATACTAATAATAGTAGTGTCCAGTCCACTTACCAAAGAAATAAGAATACAGGAAAATAAACACAGCAATTAAAGCCTATAAAGAGCTTAGAATAATTATGAATACATCTATTTATTAGTTCACTAGAATTTTGTTTTGGGCACAGACAAAACACCAGGTGGATGGTTGACTTGATATGCAGATGATCAAGCATCCATTTTATGATCTCAGTTTGCTTGCACTCAGATCGACCACTTCATCTCTAGCGGTTTTTGCACTTCTCCATGGCTCGAGGAGCTACAAGAGTTCGAGAAATATATTATAAAAGTCTGAGCTGATACCAAGACTGCACATTTATGTTCTTATATGCTCGAGAAAGTGAGCACCTATAGACACGTTTCACCTCTCAAATCGTGTTAAATTGATCAAGAATATATACTCGAGAGACATAAACATGGTTTTGACTACTATTGCTATATAGAGATCAAGAATGGTGGGAAGAACTAAACAACATGTCGTTTAGGCCTCTTACCTAGGCCGATTGCATCTGAACTTTTTGTGATCCTTAGGCGCTTGCAAGCATCCACGAACATCCTGCAATCACCGATCATAGAATCACAAAATCATTTTCTTTTTTTTTCAAAGTAGAACCAGAAAATCATATGCTGCAGATCAGAATAAGATCATATTTTGCAGACTTACTCCCATGGGAGATCGCCAACGAGCATCCAATCACCATCCTTGTCTTCGAAGGTAAGAACATATTCTGAACCATGTAGAATATCCATCAATCTACTTTCGCTCAAACCATCATGGACAGAAATGCCTTGTGTTTCATATTGACCTGAGTGAATTAACCATTTATGAGTTCTTCGTTTATCTGTGACAGTAAAACGTATTCTGTAAAGCAAGCAAGAGAGACGAGTTACCAATTGTAAAGCAGCTGAACATTTTCTCCAGGGCCACAGACAGATCCTTATAGCTGTTATAGTTCTTGAGGTCGACTTTCCTCAAGTAAGGGGCGCCATCCATGCTGACTTTGACATAGACACAACTTAATCCCAAGTTTCCATTTGAATCTTCCTTGGTCTTGGGAGGATTAGCAGCCATTGAATTCTTCCGATATGATCGAATTGGGGGCCATCCAACCACCTGGGCCCTGTCCCAGATAAACATGAGTCTTGGAAACTAGGTACTTAATAAGTACTTAACTAAACTACCTTGTTTCTTATCTTAGCCAACTAATTAGCTGATATGCTTGCCAGCTTCAAGTCACAGTAAATTGACTGAAATTCAGAATTAGACCAAAAGGCAACAGAACAAGTGAACAACATAGTTTTATTAAGGTAACCACCTCAAAATCCAACAGATTTCTTGGAAAATAGGAACTTCTTCAAAAGTATTAACATAAATTTCCCAAGAATAACATATATAGTTGGTTAATTCACAAACACATTATTACTCTTCATAATCAAACCAGAAAACAGATAAATTTATAGAAGGAGAATGAGAGAATTACTTTGCAGCAGGAGCAACCCCATGGTTAGGTGCAGAAGAAAGCTGAGGCTTTTGGTCTTGAGTTGGGGTTGGGGATGGCAGAGAAGATTCTTTGGAAGCCACGTCAGACTGGTGGGTGGTATTCTCTGCAGGGCAAAGAATCTTGGCAGCACCATTGACACCCCTAGGAGAGAACAAGGCAGCACCTTTGGGGATATCAGCCTCAGATCCACCACTCCCAGGGAAAACCCACTTCCCAGAACCACCATTGATGGTGTCTGAGAAGCCCCTCTTGGCCCTCAAAACACCCACTGGCCCATTATCCCTCTCTGGGGACTCAGAACCGGGCAACCCCAACCTCAGCTCAGTAGCCTTCAAGTTCAAATCTTTGCCTTTCCTCTCACTCTCCACTGAGGAAACACAGCTCTTCTCAGAGGTCTCCATTGAAGGGGACTCTGATAGGCCTATGTAATCATGCTCCTCTAAGGGTTTCGACATCAACTCCCAGAACACTATCACTCAGAAATGCAAATATGGAGCAATAGAAGTGAAGTGTGTGTTTTTAGCCAAACAAGAAGTACTATAGCAGAGTGTAAAATTCAAGAATACAGTGAGGGATGAGGCTTGGGCAGCAGTAGTAGTAGTAGTGGTGGAAGCATTTGATTATACACAAGAAAAAACCAAACCCGGAAAGGTAATTCTCTTTTGATTATTACTACAATCTTTATTTTTTCTATATAATCATGGTTTGCCTGATCTGTCTCTGTACACTGTAGCATAGAAAGAACAAGCAGAGAGAGAGAGAGAGAAATGGAATATGATAAAAATTGATCCTGTAAAAAGAGGGGGTAAACCAATTAACTTACAACAGATATAATGTGTGATTAAAAAGTTTAAAAGTTTTTTTTTTTTATTACAAAGGAAGGGGATACCACATCGGAGCAATCGGATACCAGTGGACCACAAGCGACTTGGTTTAAAAAAAAAAAATTGTAAGCAAGTAACAGAAGTGGCAGAGAAAAAGAAAAAAAAAAAAAACTTCTGATAATTAAAAAAAATAAATAAAACAGAAAAGATCATGTTTCAGTCAAAGTGGCCCCAGCGGGCGAGTGGGAAACACATGCCCACTAGGGCGTGAGGTGCGCTCCAAAGTCCAAACGTGTGAAATGTGTATTTTTTTTTCTTTCTCCTACAAAGTTCATATATTTGTAGGAGAACATTTGTATTAGATAGTATAAATATCGATTCTAATCTATTCCGACGATCTAAAAAAATTCAATAGATTATGTATGTGTCATAATTTATATAGTAATTACGGAGTGATATGGTAAATTAGGGACAATTTTGTCCAAGTCGATTACACTGTTATTTTGATAATAATAATAATAATAATAATAATAATAATAATAATAATTATTATTATTATTATTATTATTATTATTATAAGTTTAAAGTTCGACTTTCAACAAGAACGATTTATTGACTTTTTTAGTTTGAACAATTAACTATAGACAACCTTTGTTGACAAACAAAATTTACTTAGTACACATTTTTCAAGATTTACTTAGTGCACACTACTAAATTATAATAGTAGTTATTGATTTCCTTTGTTACTAAATTTTGTAAATTAACCAAAAAATGATGAAGACAAGTATAGGACAGCAGCGGTACAGGCTTTAAGGATGAGGACGAGGACGAGGTGCGATAGGGATTAGGCAGACGACGCTGTCGAGTGTCGTCTTCCGTTCTAAACCACAAAACCCCAAAACAACAAAGTGTGTCGCATTTCTACGTCTTGTTTTTCTTGTTGTCTAATTTGGATTATTAAAAGATTTTTTTTTTATTTAATGCATGCAACACATAATACAACATTATTGCAGATTTGCAGATGTACAAAAGAAACAATATCATGGTCCTTTTGGTAACATAGTTAGCTTAGAGCATTTATAAATCATAGTGGAGTTATTTTGTGATTTTTTAGAAATTTTTGTAGGTGAAATTAGGAAAAAGAATATGAGAGGAAAGAGAAAAAAGAGAGAGAAAATAAAAATAAAATTGTTTTTTTTTTTAAAAATAAAAAATAATAAAAAAGGAACATGTCAGCGCGCTTGACGCTCCGCACGCGCCCGACGTGGCTTTGTTGTGCGTGAAACATGCAGAGCAACTGTTCTCTCTACATTTTCTCTTTCCTTGGGAAGAGAAATAACGACTCCTCCCTTGCAAGAGGTGCTGACCCTCTCTCTCTTGCATCTTTCTCCGCCAACATGGCTTTGAGACCTCAAAAGGCGTGAATAAACTCCCCATTAATCTCTGATATTGATGCTCTTATCAGATAATTTTAGTATATTTGAGCACTATTAGGTGTTTGATTTGATTAAACATTGATTAATTAGTTTTTTTTTTTTTTTTTTTTTTTTTTTGTAATAGTTTATTACTCCAAAATGCCAATATTCAATAAGATGGTCAAAACAGGTTTTTCGATTAACTTTCTAAAAAAATCACTTTTGCACGTAATCAGCTATCAACTAATTTACCAAAGATCGTTCTGCAATCAATTAATACTATCAACTAGTCAACCCACAAACCCAATCAGTTAACAGCTATCAACTAACAACTATTTACCAAACAATCCTCGTGGGATTAATCCTCAACCAAAGTAATTAAACCTCATAATTAATCATCATCATATCAGCAGCAAATTAATTATGAGGGGGCCGGGATGGAGTGTCGGAGATTGGGGATGAGGTCTTGAAACTGAAGACCCAACAAACGACACTCTCGCTTTCTGGGAACTGTGTCTGTATATATGCACAGTGATAATTGATAAAGATAGTTTTAGATTCCATAAATTGAAATTGACGTATGTACTGTTGCTTTGTACCTGTTGGGTGTTAAAAAAGCAATTTATATTGAAACCTCTCTATCAACCCCTCTTACCTTACCTTTCCCCATCACACAATTCAATTGCATGCATGCTTTATACAATATTATTTGATTTGATTCCAAAATAATGCATAGACTTCGCCCAAAGCCTTAGGGTTGAAATAATCCTAAAAAAGTAAACAAGTATATATGAAATTAGCTTAACCTAGAAAACTGTAAACTTCTCCCAAAAGGTTGAATTTCTAACCTCAAGAGCCCCCACACCTCGGCCCGATAGAGAGTATTTGGAAATATATAAATCACAGTGATTTAATGGCTCAACAGACATGTCTAAATGCGGGTGTGCACAAAAGATTTGTCCACTTTAAACATAATCTCCACAATATCCCTGCTGAAAAAATTGTTACAAACACATGAACATTTACCTCTTAGTGTTGGGTTCTTTATTTTTATTCAGTTCCCATTTGTTAATAGAGGTGGTCCTGAGAATTAGGAATACTTAGCTTGTCAACTTCCATCAAAATCATTTATATATTCAAATATGCTTAAATAAATTTCCTAATGGAATAAAAACCACTTCAACTTGTCGAATCTATTTCTGACTTGTCCAATTCAATGATTAAATTTTCACTTCCGATTCACACCATAAACAGTGTAACAGTTTAAACCGAATTTTTTTTTTTTTTTTTTTACCTTCCATTCTATAAGGCTATTATCTTCCCAATAACACACCAACTAATGTATTTATAAAGAACAACTTTTTGAACTCATGTACATACATGCAATAACGCTTCAAATGAGACTTGACTTCGATTAGATTAGTCTCATTAATCATGTAAAATACAAATATCAGTGTAGTATATATATATATATATATATATATATATATATATATATATATATTTGCCAACTAACCAGCATGTCGGCATGCATTCCAAGAATCTAAAGCCTAGTTGTATGGTTGGTGAATATATATACCAGAAACGGAATTTAGATATTTTTCAACCATACCATATTAAAATGCATGTCAAAATTTGTACTGTCTTTTATATATAAATCTAAACATTTTATATGTTGATACCCCAATTGTAAATTATCATATTTATTTACAACTAGTCCCATGAATGTCAATTGTTATACCATGGATTATGGTCCATCATACTCTGTAGGTCTTAGTCCAAAAATTATGTATCTATACTTAATAGTTTATGTGATTATAAATAAATTGAAGGCACATGACACATTAACTGCATGCACATAATATGTTAACTACATACACATAATATATTGTTAAAATATTACGGAGTATGTGTCTTCAGTTAACATATTATGTATCTGTAGTTAACAGAATATGTCAATTGCAGACACATAATTTGAATGTTATTTTGAACAGGGCCGGTCCAAACATTTTATAGGTCCGGAGTGAAAATTAAAAAAGGACTCCTATATGAAAAACTAAAATTCAAATTTAATAATACTAAAAAAAATGATAATATCAAATAACATGAAATAAGCTTAGAAAAATTTCAACAATTTTTTAAATACAAAAATATTCATGACAAAAAAATTTTACACACTTTACTCGATGCAAAATCATCAATAATTTCATCAAAATTAATATTCATGACAAAAAATTATTATAAACAAAACTGATCTTAACCAAAAAAAAAAAAAAAAAAAGAACAAAAACACCTGGCACACTTATGAATCAGTCAATCAAAAATCTGTATTTCTACCAACAGATAAACATGTGCCTTCAATCCCTGCATAAATAAATGAAATTATAACATATAGGCGAATTAATTTCGAGTAAATACCATTAATATTTGGACATCAACAGGCAATCCACAAAAATTAAAATGAGACAATTTTATGTATAACCATAAACCATAGCTATGCAGATATGCTTGATCACATATATTAATATGTTCCCAAAATACCTTAAACATATGTAAATCACTACAGCAAAGTAAATTAAACCAAAAAATTACTTTTGCATCTGACACTCTAACAGACGCCATTTTACTTTGAGAAGGATTAAGGAATAGATATCGGTTTGGCTTAAACTGACAAATTACAATTACATTGTAAGTAGGAAACTAGGAATCTTAATAAGTAATAACTTGTAGTTTTCAATTATGCAAATTCCATTTCTGCAAATTCTTCTGCAAATTCCAATTCTGCAAATCCTAATAACTTATAGTTTTCAATTCTACAAATTTCTAAATTCCTAATACAGACAATACAGGGCATTCTACAATTATGCAAATCTCAATTCTCAAATCATAGACTTTTCAACAATACAGTTAACAATACGGCCTAATTCCCAAATCATAGTTTTCAAAAAAAAAAAAAAAAAAATTCAAATCATAAAATACCTTTGCAAATTATAATTGTAGACCGGAGTGGTGAAGGCGCGGCGATTCCTGGCGAACAGGACTGGCTGACTGGAGTGATCGGCGATTATCAATGAGTGTTGATGGTATTGGTAGAATAGGCAGACTTGTAGAGAAATTTGTTATTTGTGAATTACGGAAGTAAATTGTTGATTGCCCATTCTTATTTGACATCTGAGCTTCTAATAATTCCACTATTACCATTGAGAGAGGAATTGAACGGTTGCTGTAGCGTAGGCGCGACCGGAGAGGAATTGAATGAATGGTTGATGGTTGCGACTTGCGACTTCTCTTTTCTTCGATTCTTCTCGAATCTTACATTTTTTCGACTTTGATCAGAAGTCATCAAGTCAAAAGTAATTAAATATTTTTTTCTAATATATCCCAAGTAATATATATTATGTATATAATATATTAATATATTAATATATCATAGGGTCTATGGGCCCCCCTCTAGAGATGGGCCCTGGGAAGGGGCCCAGCCTGCCCTTGCCCCAGGGCCGGTCCTGATTTTGAACTAGAAC